AGAACATATTTCTTTATCTTGAAGTTAAGTTTTTCTAAGTTGTATTGTATACGGTTATAAATAAATCTGCAATGCTTATTGCATTCGTATGTTTTCTCGAGCGTTTTTCGATAGTTTGATTAAGAATTTTTTTCTTAAATTTCAAAAATCAATTCATGGCAAGAGGGAAGATTTTTAATCAATGTAAATTCCTCAATGCGTCGGCGTAATCGAGTGGCCGATCATGATTGCGCCACGTAGCTTAAGTAAACTCGCATTGGTCAGTGATATGCACTATCACACGACCGCTCGTCCGAGCGCGGCGGATGACGCCACGGCCATCTAACGGAAGTGAACCAAGAGTAGGCTGAAGTGTGGATAAAGGCTGGTAAGGCAACATTATCGCGGACAAGGGATGTCGTGCATCTATTTCCGAACACGTTGCAATCGGGGTCGTAGGGGACGGCAAGTCGCTGGCTGACGAAAAATGGCCAGGATTCTCGCGGCGTGAGAACTGGTTGCGTGTCGATTGGCAGTGTGACTCTGAATTCTCCGTTGACAAGCGGAGGAAAAAAAAGACACAGGTAGAGAGACACTAAGTGCCAAGAGACTCGTGGACTTGTCGCCTTGCGCGACTGTCACGCCGAGGTGCTCGCGAAGGCTGCAGGAGAAAAAGAAAAGGAGCGAGTGAACTCGCGTGGTTGCGAAACGTCACGCGCGACATTGGCGAACGGTCCCGTCCGTTCCTCCGTCCGTCCGTCCGTCCGTACGTGCTGCATATGTGCGCGCGTGAGGCTCTCGCGAGTGACACACGACACGAGGTGAACCGAGGAGGAGAATCTGCGACGAGCAGTAAGGCGCGCGACGGAGAAGACGGTAATGTTATGAGATACTGCTCGATGCGATGATTCGTCGCCGTCCGTCAATTTTTGCGCAGCGAAACGACACGAGGCCGCTCGAGTGCCGCGTCCGCCCGCGAGCCCCGCGCGACATCCCGGACGGTGTCGCTCGCAGGAGGTTATAAGCGGATGATGCGCTTGACGTCTGGCCCGTCAATATACGTCGTTCGCGGTGGCTCGCTATCGAGTCGCGTCTCGCAGGCCCGGCGAACGGACGGCGGCACGCCGATTAACACGCTCAACAGTTCAGGATTGATAAACGACAGCTCGGAGACGCGCATCCTCGCGCCCTCGACGACGTTCCGCGGCCTGGGATCCGTTTAACTGGCTGTGAAAAGTGCAACGTAATTGTACCAAGTCCAAAGAGTTGAGTAGTGTATCAGGCTTTAGATTCTCAATGCTTCCACTCGAGATGTTAAGAGTTAGACTTTATCTCCTGTTTTTAATAACTGAGATATTAGCAATGTATTAGCTTTCGCTAATCTTGGCAGTTTGTCAGTAAATTTGAGACAGAATGTTGTAGATTGACATCAACTGCATCTACTAAGTCTATACTGTCAACCAAGGACAGTCTGACAGCTGATTATCAGAAGATATAGAATTTCTCTTTTCTTCACTATTATAATAATCATTACTATTATAATAATCATTTAACTGATATATTCCATTTAAACAATACAAACTGATAAATTCTGTTTGATTTTTGCGGTCAATTTCAGCCATGTCTTATTTGCAGAATCTGCTGTTGGCTTTTTGTTGATAAAATTTATAATGATTTTGCAAAATCTAAGTTTAATAAATTTGATTAGCTGGATTTGTCATACTAAATACAGTTATAGAATTTACTGAAATCATTTAGCTGCTGCTAATATATCATTGATACAATCCTGTAAAAATGGAGCTTGTTATTAAATTTTGATAGTTTACTCTTATATTTGAAATTAAGTAATAAATTTGATTCTTTTATACATTGCATGAATGCTGCTAAAACTATATAATATGATGTCTCTCTATATTGTTGCTACAGGTATATAGATATATATATATATATATATATACATATATATATATATATACAAAATACTAATCAAAATGGATCAAGAAACGGTCTACGGCACGCACGAAGATAGCCATGTTGTCATGTCGGAGAAAGTGCAATCTTTGGCAGGCAGCATCTATCAAGAGTTTGAAAGAATGATAGCAAGATATGATGAGAATGTAGTGAAAGATTTGATGCCTCTGTTAGTCAATGTGTTAGAAAGTCTGGATATATCCTGTACTGAAAATCAAGAACGTGAAGTTGAACTAGAATTATTAAGAGAAGATAATGAGCAGCTTGTCACACAATACGAAAGGGAGAAGCAATTGAGAAAAGCATCAGATCAGGTAATTGCTTGGATATTTTTTAACATGTTTTTTAAATTAAATTAAATTTTACTTTGTCTAATCTCAAATCTTTAAATTTCTGGTACAAGAAATAATAATTATATGATAACATAATATTTATAAATATTTATATTAGAAACTTCTCGAACTGGAAGATGTTTCTGAAGGTGAGAGGAAGGAACTTCTATCAAAAATTGATAGCTTGGAGTCTATTGTAAGAATGCTGGAACTGAAGACTAAGAATTCTCACGATCACGGTACAAATGCCATTGGCGCTTCCAGTCTACTCATTCACAGTTCTCCCCTTTACAGTAGAGTAGAAGATTTTGTTCTTTTGTTTTATGTTATGTATATTCATTCTTGTATACATTCCTGGGGATTGTGTGAGGAATACAGGGTGCAGGTTTACTATGCATTTTTTATTCTCTAGTTATTTGTTTATTTTTTGTACTGTTTCCTTTGCGCTCATCCATTTTATGTTTTCATTTATAATTTTACACACACACACACACACACACCCACACCTGTTATTTGACGCTTTATAATAGCCATTTATTTTTATTTTTTGCATTAATAATAAATGTTTGCTATTTAAAAATGATGATTATTTAGATTGAAGATTTCTTGTCTATTAAATATTATTTATCTATGTTTTGAAAATGTAAAACATATTTTATGTTCAGAATCATTTCATATGTAGATTATACTTATTGTTAAACATTTCTTTTTAGTTGGTCGGCTCGAAGAAAAGGAAGCTGAATTGAAACGCGAATATTCTCGACTGCACGATAGATACACGGAATTATTCAAGACCCATGTTGATTATATGGAAAGAACTAAAATGCTAGTTGGTAGCACAGAAAGACTGGAGAGTGTGTCTGCTAGCCGTGCACCATCGCGGTTACCCTCTCTTGGACTTGCTCATATGTCACGTAGTTCCGGACCGCTTAGTTACGGTTTTCAGAGCTTAGAGGCCAGCATAAACGCTGAAGATGTTCAAGAAGATATTGTATCAAACGTCGCCAACTTGAGAACCGAAATGTTGGACAGTAGCAGCGAAGCCGCTATTGAAACATCTGATAAGAGCCAATTAACCGATCAACCAATACAAGAGAATAAGACTACAGCTATTTCTAGACGTATGTTGCTTGATGGAGACCTATAGACTTCTACTGTTTCCAACAGGAGAGTCTATTACTCAAGAATATATTCTTGCAGACGAAAGTCCGGAAACGGAAGTACCACCAAATTTAATAACGCCAACGACGCCAACTGCAGGCATAGAGAAATTAGCGACTACGCCAGGAGGTAGAAGTAGAACCGAAAGAGAGCAACGAAGTGGCAATACGTTGTATCAAGAGCTAAGTTTCCAAGACGCTGATGCGCTGGGTGAAATGGACGAAGGCGCAGATATTACTGGTATTATATTCATTATTATGCGGAGATATTTTAAAATTTAAATTAAAATTAAAATTTTTTTTTCTTTTTGCAAAATTAAATCGATT